TGGATGGAGACCAGGGCCTGTTGCTTCATGCCACTCTCCAGCCTGTGTTTTTGTACAAATCCCAAAGTTACAAATACAAACACGTACTAAAAGGAACTTATGGTATAAACTTGAATTTCACAACAGCGTGTGATGGATCTGCAGTATCACAGCCCTCCAAATATCCACGTTGTTTAGACAAACAGTAAAATCCAACACTGACATGATAAAGAGAATGGCCAAATGCAGTAACACATCTGCCCACAGCAGGGAAACAACTGGAAAATAGCTATTCTGAGTCACCATAAAAAAGAAATTCAGAAAGCACTGAATCAATTCACTGTCTTTCCATATCCCTGCATCCTAACACAAACCCCAAAGCAACATAAGGCTCTCAAGCAAGGCTGGCTCTGGCCTATGGGACAGAGCAGTGAAGCTGCTCCAGGCTGGAGAGAGAGATTTAAAGACTTTTTTAAAAATAAAAGCTTCAGAAGTGCTGGAAGATGCGATGTAAAGCGGAAGAGAACATAATGAAGGACTGGATTTAGTAAGGACACTGCAGCCGGACATTTCTGTTCCCGAGAAACAAAAACGTCCCCAAAACTCCCATGATCACAAGGCTGTTACATAACCAAAACATCCGTCAGGAGCACGAATCAGTCACACAGGAATCAAAAGCTTCTGATTCACAAATACTGAGTTCACACACTTGAGAAGCTCCCAGAAACACACACACAGGTGGATGGAGCTGCTGTACTGGCAAATATTATCCCTATTGTGTCCAACCCTTGCTGCTGGAACAAAGCATGCCTGGTCTTTACATTTGCCTTTCAACACACCAGTTTTCCTGTAAAACCAGTAAATTGTCTTACACTGGCTTGAATTGGCTTAGTTCCACATTGGCTCACAATTCCAACAGGCTGGGCCTTTGCAGCAGATTTAAAAACGGTAGGAACACAAAAGCTTTCACTTCAGAAAGTTCATCAGGCTGGAGGAAATCTCATCAGTGGGGGCAAAGAGAAGAGATTGGACATGAGGGATGATGTAAGAATTCCTGACCTTAGCACAGGAAAAACAGGAGGAAACATTTGGATCTGGAGACAATAGAATAATCAGCCCAATAATTAAGCAGATTAAGACCTCGATGGCCATGCTTGTTTAGCAGAAATCAAGAGCAAAAATACTGACCCCACTACTGCTTCTGCCCTAGACAAGAGCGAATTACAACTATTTCAGACAAAGGGGAAACTGGAATGTGAGCTGAGGGCGAGAGTCTGCTTGGGGCAGGGGACACCTGGGGACAATTCAGGGCACCCTGCCTGGTCCTACCAGCCAAACCAGGGCAAGCTGACATTTGAACACCTGAACCAAGAGAATAAATGACACATTTTGGGAAACAGAGGCTGATGCCTGAGCTTTTACACCATGCAATTTCACCAGGCACAAAACCAGCAGCTCTTCCTGAGTAACAAGGAGAATATTTGCATTTTCTTTCAACGGTGCTGGCTGGCAGCTCTGAATTTCAACTCCTGGCTGTTTTAAGGCAGTGGCAGGTTTTGCATCAAAAGCTTTCCAGAAAGTTTCACATTTCAATGCAAATGTTGTTAATCCTCCAAAGTAAGCCTGTAATTAAGACACTGATTCCACAGGGTACTGGAGCACCCAACAGTCCAGACAAGGTTTAAAGGCACCCACCCACAGCAGCCACAACCTCCATCAAGTTGCATCCCAGCTCCAAGCCTGAGGTGGAAGGCACCACAGATGTGCCATCTGCTCCTGGCATCCATCCTTAGGGGACATCAACAGCCCCAAAACAGGTCAGGAACTGGTGAAACACCACATCCATGGTTACTGCAGATGCAAAGCATTCCTTTTGAAGGAGACATGGAGCACCACTGCAGTTAGTCATCAGAGATGAATGTCCAGTGCCATAATTAGCTACAGAATATCCATTAGTTCCTCAACTTATTCACTTGGAAAAAGAAAAAAAAAAGTGGTGGACTGTGCACCTCCTTTTTTCTAAGAAAACCTAAAGTAATGTGCATGTTTTATTCAGTTCCCTAAATTGTTTTTGGAAGGATGTTTAATCTCTTCCTAGGAGGACTTAAGTCAGAACACAGAACTACAACCTCATTTTGTGAGATGGATAGTGGAACCTCCAAAATTCAAATTCAGGATGGGAACAGATGACTTGATAGCAGTCAGCTGGAAGTGGAAGATATCAGGGGATGGTAAGGGATGTCAGGAGCCAGGTCTGAGGCTAATTCCCAGCAGCCTTCCCTGTCCTTTGCCCTGATCATTTAGCAGATCATTTTTCTTACCAGCACCTAGGAGGCAGAAGAGCAGCCCCAGGTCTTGACTGCAGACATCCCTGCTCGGAGCCTGGAGCATGAACCAGGCAGAAGGGCAGGTCTGGAGCTGCTCTGGAGAGCAGGAAGGCAGAGCTGAATCAGGTTAATCTGCCCAGAAAAGGGGGCTGGCAGTGGGGCTGGGGGCCAGAGCCCCCCTCCCTCAGAGGTGCAAATACAGGTTCTGAACCAAACCCCCTGTGAGCTGCTGCTGCCCCACTCATCCCTGTCTGCCCAATATTCATGAGCCAATGATGAAAACCAAATCCATCACTCCAGCCCTCAGACAGGTTTGGAAGGATTCAAATATTGATGCTGACTGAGAGCTCTACCCCCTCACATGCCTCCTTGCCCCTACCCTGCTTCCCACCAGAGCAGGACTGAGCATTTTCAGTCCTCACCTCCCTGGGCAATACATGGATGTTTGATGGAGGAGTTTCTCTGCCCTGCTCACACAGAAGTCCCACCTGACAGTAGCTGCAGGGGCACCACGGTGCACTCCCAGCAAGGAGCAGGGGTCAGGAGCAGACGGGACAAGGTCAGGAGCAGATGGGACACGGGCTGAAGGGGCTCCTGGGCAGCACAGGGACAAAACAACACTCTGGGCCAGGTCCTTGGAGCAGGGGAGCTACAGCTGGGAACAGGGATGAGCTTTGCCAAGTGAATCATTCCTTCCCCATCCCACCCTTTTGGCAAAGCCAGCACCACCTTTCACTTCCAACAAAGGGCATTGGCAGCGCTCGGCCAGGGCAAGGACGTGACCCTTGGCTTACAAACAGCAGATTTTCTGCTGTCCCCAGTCAGCCACCACAGCCCAGAGCAGGGTCAGCTCAGGCTCTGCTGTGGATCTCATCTGTCCAGGGACACCACAGATGCCTCCCCGAGCCCCTGTGCCCTGCACAGACACACCTACTGCTGGCCAGGCCAGCAGAGAGAGTCCTCAGCTTGCAGGGTACAGCTGGGAGCCACAGAGAGCTGCACATGATCACTTCCCTCCTTAGTCACCTGCATAAAGGCCATTAAAATTAATAGAGTGATATAAATCTGCCATTGTTTCCCCTCAGCACAGAGGGAAAGCCAAACCATTGCTAACAGGGGTGGCTCAACAAGGTTTATACTGCCCTGGTAAATTCAGAGGCTGCAAGTTGCATCCAATTCTGAGCAGCTGCATTATCCCATCCAGGAAACTAATTCAACATACAACCACAGAATTACATTTATGTTTAAATCTCACTGTTGCCATTACGACTAGCCAGACTTTTTTAAAAGTGAGACCTGCCCCATTGCAGACAGATGTGAATTTTTCACATTCTTTCTCTGATTTCCTCACCTAAACATGAGGGGAAGGAAAAGCAGATTCCTCTCCTGGGGCTTGTCCGGTTGCCTCAGGGGAAATGAGGGATTTGTTTACAGGCAGGAGGAAGCAGCTCCGAGGGTTCATCTGAGCAGAGGAAGCAGAGGCAGTGCAGGCAGCCCAGCACTTGACCTCTGCTACCAATGCAGTCGTGCCAAAGGCTTCTGCCCTTTGAGTGTCTGCTGCAAACAGCTCAGATAAAAGCACAGGGAATTATCCAGCCCTTCCAGAGAACCTTCTGCTGCACAGCCTTTCCCTAAGCCATGGTACAACTGACCTGGGCAATTAACAGCGAAGCCTCTCCAGCCCAAGCAGCTGCAGAGGAAAATATCTATTTGGCAACCTTGAGACCCAGCAGGGAGTGAGGGGGTGGGAGAGAACGGACTGAGGGATGGATTCTCACGTTGCTCTTAGCATCTCTAAATACCTCCCTCTTCCCCAGATGATAATTTTCTCTCCGAGGCAGGGCTGGAGAGGCAGCTGAGCATCAGCCAGTGCAGGGGCACAACCCTCCCCCGGGTTTCCACGCCCGGCACACGCGGCTCCACACCCCCAGCACCACGCCAGGGGTTTTAGTTCCTTTTCAGAGTACAAAGAGTGGTTCATCCGAGCTTATCTCTTCTGCAGCCCCGGCTCTCCCAGCACAGAATCATCCCCAAAGAATGTTTCAGTAATGTTGCGGTGCTGAATTTCAGAGGGACACTTAATCTTGCCCCAGTGGCTCTCTCCAGGGCCAACTTTCTGAGCATGAAATATTTAACTGTCCGTGGGCGTCCGATATGATAATAAAGTGACTGCTAACCAGCCGCTGAAATGAGTGTGTGAGGAGGAGAGTGGAGCTATCAAATACACAAACCAGCCTAATTGCTGTCTTCCTTCCATCCCCATGAACCCCCAGGCACTGCTCACACTCCCCAGCAGCAGGGACCCAGCAACACAACACTTCTAAGATACTGGGATAGTCAACAGCGAAGAACTGGAAGGAGGAAATAATGTTGGTGAAGGGCATTGTTATCAAGTCTTTCTCATTTTGGGGATGTGAAAACATATCTGGCTTGCCTAAAAGAAACCAAGCCCTGTATTTGAACAAAAAACTTTGAAACTGCTTGCAACTCTGCTACTCCCCCACTCCAGTGAACTTTATCTTTTGGCATTTAACACCTTGCAGACTCCGAGTGAGCACGTGCCTGTTAATGCCCTGTGAGTGTTAGCAGAAGCAATGGAACCCACCCAGGACCCCTGAGGGCAGCATGGCAGAGGGGAGCTCCTGCTGCACAGTCATTCCTGGCACAGAGGATCTTCAGCAAGCTCAGCCTTACCTCATCCCACTCCGAAGCGAAGGATGGGGATTTCTCCAGCCGCTTCTTCCCGGTGCTGCAGTTGGAGAGCGATTCGCTGCGGCTCCCCATGGCATCGTCCTCCGTCGGGGAGCAGGTCAGCAGGTCAGAGTCCGACTTAGACAGGCTGCGGCTGAGTTTGAGCTCGGCTTTGGGCTTGCTGCCCGGGTGGGCTCTGCACACAGCTCTGTCCCCCTCTGGCTCAGCACCGCCGGGGTGCTGCTGCACGTGGGGCGTGACTGCGGCGCCGGGATCCGCCCGGCTGACGTGCTGCACCGTGGCGTACACCACGGTCTGCGTGGGGTCTGGGGAGCTGCTCCCTGCTGGTCCCGACGAGGGTAACTCGGCGTCCTCCAGCTGCATAGCAGCAGGGTGGCTCGTGGCTTCTGTGTCCCCCTTGTCGGCGGAGGAAACGAGCCTGAAAGGGTCCTCGCTTATCTCACAGATTGGAGAAGAGCCGTGGAGCAAGCCTGAAAACTGCTCTGGCACCTGGATGTCCTGGCTCTCGGCAGAGTCCTGGCTGCGGCCGCCGCTGCTCCTCCTGTGGTCTTCAAGGGGATGAAAAAAGAGAGGAGGGGGGAAATTAAAAACATGGAAGAAGCAGCAGCAAAATTCCAGCTCTCTCCCTGCCCTCCCTCAGCAAGGGAGGGAGAGATAAAGAGAGAACAGTTCCGTATTGTTCCGCGTGCTCAACTTGTACCCAAAGTCATGGCATTTATGAAATTCCAAACACTGGCCCGATTTACGCAATCTGGCAGCTCTCCGTGTTTTTTATTCCTGTTAACACTAACTATCAGGCCTTGCTATATAAGGCCAAGAGAAGTGCTAACTATATCCTGCAGAGAGCAAGTGAGGTGGGAGCAGCAGAGACGGAGGCTCCTGGAACATCTGATCCGTTTCCATAAAGGCCAAAGCGTTATTTAGAGCCGTGCGCCCGGCTCTTGGCACGGGCTGCAGGGTGGGAAAACGCCTGGACTGCAATCGACCTGCGAGTTCCAAAATCCGCTCCCAAAAAAACCCACTGCTTCCCTCCCTAGTGGCTTCCGAGTTTAACCTCTCCTCCCTGCTCAGGGGAGAGAAATAAACAGTTTATGCAAGAAAAAAAAAAAAAAAGCTTGAGCAAAAAGTCTCTTTTACAATGAACTGAGCACAGAGTGGTCAGAGCTGGTGGAGCACTGGCTGCCCCAGAAACGTGACACTGGTCCCCAGCTATTCCTGCCCCAGCAACCTTAATATCAGGTACCAGGGTCCTGCATAAACCATGAAGAATTGACTGATCCCAAGTGCTGACACACACACACACACACACACTCACCTTCGTCACAGCTGAATGAACATTTCAACTGCAAAAGCAAAACTTTGTCAAGCCAACAAGTCTAACTTTGGTTTCCTAGGATTCCTTCACCCTCCCAGCATTGCTTGTGAATTTTAACTGCTTCCATTTAGTGCTGAAGAAACTCTTCAGTCTGAGGACTAAAAATTGATGCTGCAAAGGAACAATAAAGCAAAAGGCTCCGATAATGAGGCTCTGAAGTGCAGAGAGGATGTTTGGATGTGAAGAGGAAATCACTTGCTTTGCAGACAGCAGCTCTGGGAAGCCAAGGCAAAGGAACCCTCCTTTCCGTGAGCAAAATAATGAGTTCTACTCTAACTAAAAGCAGCCTGTTAGCAGCAGCAGAGAGTCCAACTCAGCTCCGAGCACCTTTCCAGCACCAAGCCTGACCAGGGGATTTTCAAACACCAATACCCATCGGGCTTTGTGGTCTGTGCTCACACCAGAAATGGGCAGGAAAAGGCTGAATTAGTAATTTCCCTTTGTGTGGGGGTGCCAGGTACCCCATGCCTGATGAGCATGGTGAGTCCCTCTCAAAGGCACAGGAGCAGCCACAGCCCTCACTGGGATCAAGTGATGCGAGGGATTATCTCATCCTGGATCCTATGAGTTAGAGATTCCAGGACAGTGAAGTAGTTGTTGACTCTCTTGCACAGGCACATAAACCACCAATTCTGTGACTGGAGCTGCCAAGGGGAAGGCAGGTCCCAGTGCTGGCTGAGAGGGACCAGCAGCAGCACCCCAGATTACAAGGCCAGACTAAACCCAGTTACTTTGCATAAAGCTCTGAAGCTCCAATGCTGGAGAGAAACCTCAGAGGACAAACCTCAGAGGAGATCAGATGTGCTGCATTCACACAGGACAGACTGGTACTAATGCAAAGCCACAGAGAGGTTAGCGAGACAGCAGTGATGGGACAGTCACATAAACCTGTGGGGAAAGAAAAACTTTTTTCTTCCCAATCTCTTCTCCTCCTTGGAAACCATTTCTTCCATGCCCTAGCTGATCCTTTACTGACATTTCTGCTGAAGGCAGAGGCGGCTGGCCAAAGCTGGTGCCACGTGCTCTAACACTTGAGTCCAGCCAGAACAAAGTGCTCCAAATCCAGCTCCAGCACCTCACAAAAGGGCTCCTGTTGGACAGGAATCCCAGTCACCCACTCATCTGCGAGCTGAAGAGGGACTCTGAAACACAGGGCAGCTGCCAGGGAAGGGATGGAGTGAGGGCAACAGCACTTGCTCAGAAGTTGTGAGAAATATCTTGAAGGAGACATTTCAGAGCCTGCCCTGAAAGCTGCAGACAGAAGAACTAATGTAGAAAGTCATTTCAGTCTTTCTGTCACCGAGGTGCACGCAGCAGGAACATGCAGGGCTCTCCAGGCCTCTCCTTTTAGGGGATCTGAAAGATTCCTCCTCCTCCAGTTACACCTGAGTTACACACAGAAAGGATCCTTGGCACAGGGACTTCTGCCCAGCTCCCTTCATGGATTTCACTCCCTTCACTGATTTCACACCCCAGCAGAGATCATTTGACAGATCCTGCCTTTTTCAGCCACAGCCTGATGCAGGTCTCACCCACAGGAGAGTTTGTTCCCAACCTTTCCTGGGATCAGGAGCCCTTCCTGGGTACAGACTGTCTGCATCCCAGGGAGGATTCCATTAAGAACTTCTCTGCCAGCAGCCTGAGGACTCCAGATAGGAAGCACTTCCCTAAACACTCCACCCTAAGCTGTAACCGCCCTGCCTCCACTGGATTGCTTTCCCTGTGTATCAACAGCAGGATTTGTCTCACAACCCTGGATTAGGAGAATGAATCTGTTCCTGCAGCTGCTGCCTGCTCAAGCTCCCCAACCTTAAAATTAGAGAGGGCATACAGCAGCCTGATTTGCACGTGGAAAAGGCTGCCCATGTTACACTACGCCAGAATTTGTCAAGTGAGGAGCAGGCAAATCTCCCTCCTGTAAAACAGAAGGACAGAGGAAGAAGCTGGCCTTGAGGGGTACATAAATATCCTTCACCTACAACAGAACTAAAACACAGCCCCACTCCACAGCCAGCTACTCTGTGTGGAACCCAGCTGAGGATGGCACACCCCTGTGTTAACCTCACCAAGCTCAGTCATTCCAGGCAGAGTTTATCCACCTGAATTTGTGTTCTTTTGTATTCCCTCTTCAGAACGGGCAATGAGGCACTGCCCTGCTTAGAGAGATCATTAATGTGACTCTGCACAACACCATGACAGCAGAAACACAAGCTTGGGCCTGGGATATGGGACAGGAGTCTGTCCTCTGTCTGTGATAACACCATGTGAGGACACGTAGACTGTTTGAACTGTCCTTCATCTTCAGCAAACCAAGAGCTGTCCCTAAACCTTTGCCTGCAATAACCAAGTGTCCCCACAGAACTCCCACAGAGATGTCCACCCTGCAGTTTCAGCAGACACGTTCTGGCTCTCAGAAAAGGGCTTCTTTCAATCTCTCTGCAGTGTGTTATGACTTTACTGCTGGCTCATCCCAGCTCTCTGGTTAGCAGCACAGTCACACTGTGCTGGTTGAACCAGTACAACCACAAAGAAAATCTCTAACAGGAGGAAAGACAAAGTGGGGACTTCAAGCTGGACCTCCTATGGAAGCAGCACAGAACAACCTCAACGAGTACCAGTTTGTAAGAACTACTAGAAGGCACCAAGTCAGTCCTACCTGCAACAGGTCACTGCTGACAACACCTGGGTGTGACTCTTGAGAAGCCAAACAGGCCAAAACTCAAGGCTTTTCACCCTCCATTAGGTCCTCTCTGGAGGCAGCAGGAGCTGGAAAGTTTCCTCCTGGTCACACCACACACACTCCTCCTCTTTTGCCTTATTTTAACACCCTGTTACAGGGCCTGAGTGCCCTGACTTCACACATGTGACTGCACACCAAAGTGGATGGGAGAGCATTTGGCTTAAACCACTTCAGATCTCTGCCCAAAACATGAGGCCAACTTCTCCCAGTGCTCCAGCATGTGACAGCGAGCTGCTCTAACACACACAAAGGCCACCAAAGCCAGAGGATAATGCCACATTCATCTGCTGGCTGGACACAGGACAACTGGCAGCCAGAGGAACAAAGGCAGCTATCACACATGAAAGGCACCATTAAACCCGCGTGCCTGAAATTCAGCTTTCCACTGCCCTGAAACGCCCTTTCAACAGCCACAGGAACCCAGGCCCTCCTCTCCTGACCAAAGGCTGCTCCAGGACTAATCCAGAAGGCCAGACCCTCAGATTGAGAGCCAAGAAGCAGTTCAAAGCCATGCTTCAGCCTGTTCCATGTCTTGGGATTGAGCTGCTGCTTTTGATGCTCCAGGATCCTTCTGACCCCGAGGTGGGAAAATTCTCCAACACCTCAAGCAAGGCTTCGATCTCTCCCTTGACTCTTGCTTAATTCTGCCACTCCTTAAATTTATCTTCTTCCCCCATCATCAGTGCTGACTGCATTTAAAGAATGGGAAAGTCAGGGAAGAAGAGGAAAAAGTCAACTGCATCCTTGGATTTCTCCCACTGTAACAGTGGGAAGGGCTCCGGGCTTGTTACCAACACTTTCCACGGAGTGCAAACCGTAAAGTCACAGCTTTGATCTTTCCAACTGTACATTAAAAGATAGGACTCTGCTCTGGATCCATAAAAGGATCCATAAAGGTCTTCCTGCAGCCTCCTCTGTCTTCAGGTGCTCAGGGGAAGAGATCTGCATCAAGAACAGGCAGCTACATTAGTCTGAGATTTTATTTTGAGCTGACACATAATTAGGACACACCTCCACTCTTACCAATCAAGCCTGGACACAGCAGCCAGGGGAAGGAGTGGAGCAGCTGGAATAGCTTGTGCCTGAGTAACCAGCAATAGCTGCCCATGATGAAAGCCTGAAAGCCCTGGCTCAGGCTGTTGCCCAAGGACTGTTCCTGGCCCAGACTGTAAAACACCAACCTAAAAAGCTCCCAAAATTTGCCTCTGGCAGTGAGGGGCTTTGGCAAGTGCTGGTGGGAACACAATGACCTCTTGTGTCACCCTGGAGCAGCCAGGAGAGCAGCAGGATCAATGACAGGAGGGGAGAAAAGCTGCAGGTCTGACAAAGCAGTCAATGAGGCACCACCTCAAGTCCTTGTTAGCCCTGTCCATCCTCAGAGGGAGAGGGGTTCCAGTGTGAGAATCCAAACTAAATCCACCCAAATTCCTGCTCAGGACTTCTGAAAAAAGCGGAAATCTTTTCCCTCTAAACAAATCTTTTGTTGTTATTGTTGAAGGAAGGCCAAAAACAGCCTAACACAAGAGATAAGGTGTTCCCAGATGCTTTGTAAAGCTCTAAGGTCCTTCCAGAGGAGGAGAAACTGCCTCAGTATCAACCTGTGTACCCTGTGGTCTCACACAGTTCTTGTTCTTGCTCTACACATTTTTGTTTTCCTCCTCTGTTAGTTTCCATCTCAAATTAGCTCTAACACAGAGCAGGATGTTGATTTTACAGCAGGATAGCAGAAACCTGCAGCGCCAGCTGGATGGAGAGCACGGCTCACTGGAACGCTCGTGTTGCTCATCTTCCCTGGCAGAGGCACAGCCTCCAGCCTCTCACCCTCTGCCTTTGCTTGGCCAGGCATGAGATTTGGGCATTTCTGAGGTCACAGAGCAGATCCTTGCAATCTCTGAACTGTCCCACAGAGGAGCTGCCCTTCCTCCATGTACACTCTGTACAGGAACGCTCAGAGCTCTCCTTTACAGAGAGATTACCAGGAAACACAACAATCACCCTCCAGCCCCCACCCAGCAGAGACTTTCATTGTTCCACTTGCCCTCTGCCCCCGTGTTTTCCTGAAGCACATGCAAGCAAACATCTCTGCTTTTTGGATGGTCACTCACCTTTTGTTTTCCTGTCCACTGCAACCGGCTTTTTAGTTTCTGCTGTAAGCAACAGCTCGTAGGGGTGTTCCTCTTCCTCAGCTCCACTTCCCCTGCTTTTCCCCCGGGCAGCAGAGGCCTAATGAAGAACAGCACAATGTGGTGGTGCTCTGCAAAGCAATGCTTTGTCCCAGCATAAACCCCACAGCTTCTATACCATGGGTTAAGCAAAGAATTGGCAGAGGCAACACCTCCACTGCGGAGCCTGAGCCAAAATGTAATACTCCCCTTTGGGTTTTTTGAACCCCCTCAAGAAAACCCCACCTAAACCCCTTTAATTTTTAGTATTTCAGGCTGCTGACAGCTTTCCAGCACTGACCAATTGTGCAAGGGCTGCAGACAGCCTGGAGGGGGAAAAGAGCTGAGACCGTTATTCCTGTTCATCCCATCTCAGGCTCGTTGTTGCTATTGGAATTTGCATCGTCATTCACTTTTTAGCTGCCAGTCCTATTAGGACAGGGCTGAAAAGAACAAAAGCCCAAATCCCTGCCACCTTCTCAGGCATCTCAGATGTGCATTTCTGACCTCAGGATGTATGGCATATTCAGAACTAAAGTGTCCTCAGGCAGCACTGTATGAACTCAGTTTAACTTCAGGACGTGCAGAAATGATTGTGCTCATTTAAATCCTCCAAAGCCTCTACTTAGAGCTGGTTTGTAACCCTGGCAGATTCTCCTCGAGCTGTTCTGGAAAGCCACCAGCCACGTGCAGGATGAGGTTTTGGTGCAGGATCCAGACCAGTCTTGCTGCACACTCACACATGTTGGTCTGCATCAATGCCGAGGATGACAGGCACTGCTTAACCTCGTGTGCCAGCCCAGTGCTGAAGGGGCTAAAGTGGCCACCAGGGCACCCTGCCGGCACAGCCAGCTGCCTTTCAGCACCATCTCCTGGCCAGATCCTGGCAGGTTGATGCAGTCCTGTCCTAGGAGCTCAACATGACCAGGAATGCACCCTAAGAGGCTCCAAGGGAGCTGGGGAGGGGCATGGAGTGAGAGAAAATTGTGAATGCCCTGGAAGTGTTCAAGGTCAGGTTGGATGGGGCTGGTTGAGAGGAAGGTGTCCCAGCCCATGACGAGGGCTTAGGACTGGATGATCTTTAAGGTTCCTTCCAGCCCAAACCACTCTGGGACCCCATGTGTGACTATACCCAACTACAGTGGGACAAACTCAAACCAAAAAGCAACAATTCCTACCTGCTGCCAGGACAGGGAACAACAGGTCTGAACAAAACATGCCCCCAGAGAGGGCTTCTACTGCTCAGACTGCTGGACCTGCCACTGCCTTGCCAGCAGAGCACAGAGCACCTCCTGCTTTTCCCCAAAGTGAAAGCACCAGAGCTGCTCCAAGGGCAAACTGGTGCCTACCTGACTGCAACCCAGCCAGGAGCTCTGGAAGCTTAAAAGAGTCTTGGAGAGGCAATCAAGAGTCAGCAGCATAGACAGGATTCTGACATCCATGTGCTGTTCTGCACAAACCCAGCTGGCTTTTAAAGTGACTTTCCCAATGGGAGGAAATGGGCCCTGCCCAGCATGGGAAATATTTATTTATTCTACCTGCTTTGAGCAGGAGCTGCCAGGCAGACCTGCTCCTTTCCAGGTGAAGGAGCTCATAATGAGCAAATTAGAGAAAAATTCTGACCAGATGGTGGCACAAAACCATCAGACCAGAACAGCAGGTAAGAGGTTCTTGCCAGTGATCTTGGAAAAATCCTGCCCAGCAGCAGCCTGTTAGCACAGCAGCAGCCTGGAGCTTCAGCCAGGCTCTGGTGCTCTCCTGACACTCCTGTGGATGATGATTCCTGTGCTGTCCTCTTTAAATGCACCAAAGGCAGAAACTCTCCAGCAGCACACAGTTCCCAGTTTCTACTCTGTGAACTTTCACAGGCCTGGTGACACTTGATTTTCTCCATCTCTCATCCTTCCAAGCTCTAAATAGTGTTCCAGGTTCTAATTCATTCAAAATGAAGACCATTGCTGGAGAACACTGCTTGCTCTGTGGGCTTTGTGACCAGGAGCAACACCACCAAGTAAAGTTTTCTTCCAATGCAGTTTTTAGTTCTTCAGCCATGTTGTTTGCATGCATAAATGTTCATTGCTAGCAAAGCCCAAAAATAAGATGCTGTGAACAGTGAGGATGTAAGGTGTACTTAATCCACAGTAGAGGACTTTGAAATATTTTTTCAAGGGTAACTCATCTCTTCCTCTATTTTCCCTCCCCAGAGATGCAGACCAAACTCCTGGAGCCAATGTGGCGCCTTGTCCTTGATCTGCACTTCCCTTCCAGAGACAAGCAGTAAACAACTGGAACTGAAGTTTAATTTGACAGTGCAGTCTCTTACTCAGCTCCAAACCCAGAAGGTTTCTGTAGATAGTGAAAGGCACCACTCAAGCACCTCCAAACAATCAGCTCCTTTGCCTGTTTGTACCAACGCTTTTCCGTGATGAAAGTGAAGTTTCTTGTTTATGCTCATCTGTTTTGACTGATAGCCCCAGCTTGGCAAGGAATAAAAAGACTACTTTGGAAAACTAGAGTTTGGCCCAACCCCAGAATACTCAATGACTAAGTGTCCTGGCTCCAATGGGAGAGCAGGGCTGGAGGGTGGCAGATTGGGATGCTGCAGCAGAATGTTTACAGCATTCCCAGAGCATGTGCACACCTGCCCGGCCCAGGGAGAGCATGCTCTGAGGTGATAAAAAACGGGCAAGAGTCAGAAAAGCAGAGCAGGCCAGGAGGAACAAGCAAAGTAAAAGGATCAGGCCCAAACTCCTCATCAGTGTGTCCAAAAGGTCATTTCAAGGCAGCCACATGCTGCCTGTAAGTTTCGTCACTGAAGTTGGTCACAAATCAAAGTCTCCCAGCGAGTCACTCTGCCATTTGCCAGCAAGATTCCCTTTAATGGATTGTGCTTCCAAAGCCATTAAAGGCAGGACAACACAGCGGGTGTTTGGTAATTAAACATGGCAAGAAGACTCAGCAGGAACGATCAGGGCACGTTTCCCTCCCTCGTGTTTATTGTCATAAACAAGTTCTGCTTCCCAATTACTCCATGACCTGCTGCCCAGCTCTGCTCTGCCACAGCCAGGCACAGGACTGGTCACCATCCCCTGCATTTGAACAGCAGGGCAGGGATCAGTCCACAGTGTCACATCCCAGTTTCCCTGTTCATACACAGCTCAGAGTTTACTCCCTCTCTGCAGCCGTTCTCTTACAGCAGGCCATGTTCACCTGTGCCTCGTGTGGAATTGACACTCTCCAGAAAACAGATCTCATTTGTGCCTTGCAGAACTCCAGCAGATCAGCACATTCAAAGAAAGCACTTTCAGAACCAGAGCCTGCTCTGACAGCAGAGGTGGCACACGCTCCACGAGCTTCACACACAACCCACTGCCTTTGGGAGAACACAGAAATCCACAGCATTTGGATTTGCTTTGAAGGTTTTCCTGGGTGTCAGCAGAAGTTGCCAAGGCACATTTGTGGTTTCCCACAGCCATGTCTCCCACAGAGTCCTTACGTCTGAGGTTCACAGGCAGGTGAATAAGACAAGCAACAGGAAGTCCTAGCAGCAACAATATGAAATGGGAGAGCTTGAGTTCCATCAGAAAGCAGCTCACATGCACTACTGGGCCAGATCCTCAGATGAATTCAAGTCCCTGATCCCTGCTCATGTCAGTGGGACACACAAGCCCATGCAGCTCCTCCACAGCTGGGAGCTCAGAGGAAGCAGGAACTCACAGCCCCTCTGTGTTTCAGTCCAACTGAAGATGCCTGTGGTGGGATCATTACTAGTGGGCAATGGTCCACATCACAACGTGGGTCAGAAAAATCTCTTCCTAAGGGAATTCTCAGCCAAGAATAGGAAAGTAAGGCTGAAGGTCAACTCTGAGGTGCCCTGGAAGAACCGGACAAAGGAAGTTCCCATGGTAAGGGACAGCAGCAATGCTGAATTCTTCACATTCACAGCCCATAGGAGCATAGGAGGTAACAGCATCCTTGGCTCCTCCCAAACTATTAAAACTGATGTTTAAACCACTCTCCCATGAAACACCCCAGAGCCAGCCCCATGTACCTCACAGGGAGCACTGTGGCCTGTCTTCTTCTCCACATTCTGCTCCTCCTCTTCATCAGGCGGGGGCTTGGCTGGTGGGGGAGGACGTTCCCTCTGCAGGTGAGACAGACACTGTCAGCTCATCCCTTCTGCCCCCACCAGCTCCATGTCCCCACTGCTGTGGATGCAGCAAGGACCTCTTCAAATTCATCTGGGTGGAGGAGAATTTCAGCCCTAACAGCACAGAGCTGGGCAATGGCTGCTGCCTTTCCTCCTCTTTCTCAGGACACTGGTCTCACTCAGATCCAAACCAGCATCTCCACAGCATGACACAGGGAAGTGAGCAATGAGCTGATCAGAAGAAAGGGCTTGTGGCTTAATGAAACTGATGCCAGAGGCACCTTTTATAGTGGAATACTCTAGGGATCAAGAAACTATGCTGCACTGCTCTCCTCCCATATCCCAGGATTGCAACTGAGCAGCTGGAGCTGCTGCCTGGTCCCGAGGCTGAGAATAAGCCAGAGCCACCTCCTGCCTGGCCACAGCTCCATCTAACGGCAAAGGGAGCAGCAGAGCTGCACTGCTCCAACTCCAGCAAGCTACTGCAGCACGTCCCTCTTCCCGCTCTCTTTTCACTGCAGTTCAGCTCTTGTCTTTCCTTAGTTGTGACAGAACTGAGCTTATTTCACACCAGACACTATCAGCACAGGACAATGACAAGATCTGATCAGTAACACGACTGCCTGGTACTGGACACCAGAGAGATCTGGCCAAAACGTCCATTATCCAAAGCTTTTGTCTCATTTCTATTCTGCTTGCTCTCAGCACAAGCCAAAGGCTGCACCTCCTCTTTGCACAGAAGGGAACCAAGGTTACTGTGCCCCCAGCAGTTTAATTGTTCACTGCTGCTCTGCCTTTTGTCCAAAAATGCCTCAACAGAGCAGGCTTTGGAAAACCAGCCAGAACACAGAGCCTGAAGCTGACCCAGCACTGCAGGGCCCGTGTCCCATCTACCCCACAGCAGCTTTCCTGCCGATCGCTACCGGGGCAGCAGATGCAGCTGACAGAAGGTGAGGAAGACTTCTCTGGGGACAGTTCCAGGAGCTCTGCACTGCCTTGTAAAGCCTGGAGTACCCTCTGCAGAGCTCTGCAAGTAATACACAAAAAAAAAAACCCTTCCATTGCCAACTAGACTCCAACAGGTTATTACAGGTAATTTCCTGACAGCCTTAGCTTTGGTAAAGCAGTGAGACATGAGAAAATGCTCCTTACAAGTTTCCAGAACTATTTTCAGGACAAGAAGCCAGCCCTTCTGCAAAATGTAATCTCCTGACAGACAAAGATTCACTAGCACCAGTGCACTGCCAGAAGACAGAAGGATACAACACGAGGTGAAATGAAGAAGTGGCTGCTTTTAGGCAATCCCTGTGAACAGGGCTGGGAAGGAGAGGCACCTGCCTGCTCTCATCAACGTCAGGGAAGGATTTAAAGATTTCCTCAAGCTTGGGCAGCCTGCTGCAAAACCGGACCCTGCAGGTCAGCCCCCTGTGGCTCTAGGGCAGGCAGGGGTGAGCTACATACAGGCCTGACTCCAGCTGCTTTGAGGCCACTCGGCTCAGCCTCCTTATTCACAGATTCCCGGTCAGATGATCTCCCGCTGGCCAGGCTGTCCAGAGAGTGGCAGGACGTGGCATTGCACAGAGCTTCATATGGGCTCTCCTCTTCAGGGTTCACATCAAAATCGATGATCAGCTCTGTGACAGCTTTGTCCACATCACCTGTGGGAGGAAGAGAGAGATGGGATTGTCACTGGATCTCCTGACCTCGGTGCTGCCAGGGAGAGGAATGCTGGTGATGCCCACCCTGAGATGTCCGGCCCGAGGGATCGGTGGCTGGAGCGAGCGGGGCTGGAGCAGATTTCTCCACAGCTTTGGCACTTTTCTTCCCAACGGTGTAATCTGCAAGGGGGGTGGGGGACAGGGTCAGCTCATGTCACTCTGGCTTTCTGTCCCCTTCAGCGCATGGCACTTCCTCCCTCGTGGGTGGAAGGCCAACTGTCAGCTTATTAAGTGTCCAAAAAAAAATAACATTATTAAAACTTGCAGCTCAGATCCCAAAATAGAAGCATGCTGCCTCTTTAATCACAGGCACAAGGGTAGGGATGGTCCTTTGAACTTTCAGAGTCTTTAATCAGAAAGCTGCAAAGCTGCTGCATGGACACAGAGCCATGCAGCAAATTCGTGTTGTAGATACAAACTCCATCACTGAACAGAGTAATAACAAGAGAAATCAATTCCAGCTGCAGCCCCCTACTACAGGCAAAGCCAGAAACATTCAGCTGATGTAACATCCAATAGCAGCTCCCTCCTGGGGAAAACAGCCTTTATCTGCAACACCTTCGGATTTAAAGCCCACCTTTGTCTTCACTTTCAGAATGAAGCTCAAACATTCCAGCCTCACAGGCACAGCTTAGTTAAAAGTCTGAGAAGTGCTTTGAACCTGCAAAGCTCCCAAATGCTCAGCATGAGTAACACACCCCAGCTCCAAATGCTTCTGATCCTCCCCACAGCTGAGAGGAAATGCAGACAGTGTAATTACAAGGTATGAATTTAGCCAAGATGTCACATTTCATTCCCGAATTTGGACAGACACAATGGACCAAGCTCCTTTATAAAATACAAGTAATCAAGGCCTTTTCTGTAAATCTCATCTGCAAATTCCATGCCCAAGCCTCAAAACGAGGCGAGGAGCAGGATGTGAGATCTGTGGACAACGATTTGCCTACACAGACACGTAAAGGGGAGTTACACAGAACCATTTCTAAAGCTGTTACTTTGCATTCTGCAAGCAGATTTAGGCTATCCTTAATTTTAATTAACTCCTAAATCGAGCTAAACAAAGCTCAATTAAGCCCATTTAAACTGTAAAAGTCACGCCACACTCCCTCAGCAAAGGGCTAATCCTCCTAAATTCCCCCAAGTTCTCCTCCAAACATTTGGTCTGGAGAAGCTCACCCCAGCGTTTCAGCACTAGTTCTTCCAGCACAGCCTGAAGCTGCTTTGCTTTCAGCACTTTCCAGGTCTAGAAAAGCACATCCTGTATCTGCTCCAGCACAATCATCACCTCAAATTTTCCCCTCCTCCCCAGAGGCAGAGCTGCATTACCCACCTTCAATAAGAGCTGCTATGTGCTGGCTTTTCTGGGAAGGAAGCTCCCTCACAATGTCCAGAGCAGTCAGGCCTCTGTTATCCTTTATGTTCACATCAATACCTGTGGCCACAGGGGTACAGAGGGTAAAAGCAAGAATATTGTCTGACTATGTGCAGGTTGGTGTATTTCAAGTCACATGTGTGATCATCACTGAGGGGAGCTAAAAGGCACTCTAGAGACAAATCTAAAGCCAAACTCCAAGAGCCAATCTCTCCTACATCCTGCTCTGAGGAGCTCTGACAGCTGGATGGAGAAACCTGCTGCATTAGAAAGGGATTTCCTCAAGCTCTGGGTGAAGGGATCACCACATTAGTGCTTCAAAGGGGGAACATTCTCTCACCTGCAGCCAGCAATATTTGTACCACATCTGTCTTGCCAAACAAAGCAGCTTCGTGCAAAGCACTGCCTTTCTCAGTCTGCAAATTAAATGGAAACATAGCATGAAGCCAGACAGCAGGGAATGGTGAGGGAGGCATGGCTTAGAAGGTTACAGAAGCAATAAATACACGGCTGTACACGAGGTGTGGGCAGCACTACCTACAGCTCAGGATGGACTGTCAGTGTTATTACAATGCTGAGGATGTGGGATGGAAATATGGGGATGGTTCCATCAGAGACACCAACCAAGGGCCTTCTGCAGCTTGGCAAGAGGTCATGTCCTGACAAGGAAAAACAAGACCCACATACAAGCCATTGCTGTGAAAACAGCACATTCACAAGTGGCTTGATAGGAAGAGACATGTTTGCCTATCAAGAGCTCAGAGCGCTGCAGGGCAGAACAGCTTCAGCTACAGAGTGTTTCTGTCCCTCACTCCGTGTCTGGGGCTTTGCCCAGCCCCTGCACAGGCGTGAGCCATGCACAGCACCCAAATCCCTCCGGGCAGCCTCCCCCAGCAACCCCGAGCTGCACACACAGCCCAGCAGAACACACAGCTCTCCTCAGCTTCTGTGAGTGCTCCCTCTGCGAGGAGTCTATGTGGAGCTCTCCAATCCCAGCCCAGCCCCACTACACCGGATACCTGGTAGTTGCTGTCCATGCCAGCATCCAGGAGGACGTGGACCACTGCCTTGTGACCGTTCCTGGCTGCCAGATGCAGCGGAGTGTGTTTCTTAGTGTTGCAGCTGAGCAGGTTGGGGTGGGCGTTCAAGAGCATCTTGACCACTTCCAGCCTCCCGTAGAGAGCAGCCAGGTCCAGGGGTGTCTCGAACTTGTTGTTTCGCATGGTGGGGTCGGTGAGCTCCTCCAGCAGCACCTTCACCACCTCGGTGTGGCCGTGCTGGGCCGCGCAGTGCAGCGCTGTCTCGTTGTCGTTGTTCTGCGGGGCACAAGCGGCACCGGGTCAGCCTCGCTCCAGCATTCAAGT